CCTTCTCCATGGTCAGCTCCGCCCGTTTAGGGTTTAGGGCTTAGGGTTTAGGGTTTTGGGTTTAGGGTCTTGGGTTTAGGGTTTTGGGTTTAGGGTTTTGGGTTTTGGGTTTTGGATTTAGGGTTTTGGGTGTAGGGTTTAGGGTTTTGGGTTTTGGGTTTTTTTTTTAATGCAGTGGGCCTTTGACTCTCGCACCCGGCCTGTTTTTCAGGCTTGCATTCTCCAGCAAAAGCTAGCAAAAGAACACAGTGTGTAGTCGCCCCATCTGTACCAGCAACTCACTGTGCCTCAAAAAGCTTCCAAGTGTTGCTCACAAAGTTAACAGGCTCACACTCAGTTCACTCACACAGGTCACTCACACAGGTCGCTCACACCTTCACTTCCTCACCTCAGACTCAGCCACCCTCAAAGCAACATCCACCCCCAAAGCATGCTGTCCGGGTAGTGCTGCAACATCACGGTCAGGCAGATCTGCATGACTTCCCGAAGCATCTCCAGACTCATCCACCCCAGCAACATGTTGACTTGGTACTGCCGAATGTGCTTGAGCTGCGTCTGCGTCTGTGTGATGTGGTAGAGCAGGGTCATCATGACGGGCTGGATCAGCATGACGTGGTGGACCTGGGTCAGCACGAGGAGGTATAACTGGGCCGGCACGATGTGGCGAGTCTTTACCCTGCGTTAGTACAGGTTCATCTGTGGGTCGCGTCCCTGTCCTTCACGATGTTGCGGGTCCTCCCGATGTAGTTCCGAGTCGTCTTGTCCATCTTCTCTTAACCCACGGCGGCGCTGGCGCAGAGCACCGACAAGCGCAACAGTCTGAGGCGTTGGCGCGGGGGCTTGCGCCACCAACTCAGAGTTCAAGAGCTTGTCAGATGGGTGAAGCTTGCTGGCATATTCCTTTGCAAATGACAGCAACAGCTGCACAGATGGGTGGCTGTTGTCCAAACCGGAGGCAGTCGGGAGCGGTTAGTTCAACTCTGAAACTAGGGCAGCGCTTCTGCTCCCTGTCCCAGAGGAGATCGTATACCAAGCAGCCGAAGTGTGGCAATTCCAAAGCCCGCAATAGACCTGTCGCGCAGCATTGCCAACATCCGTCCACCACCCTTCATTGGACACACCAGCAAGCGTTCCATCCATGACCATTGGTTGGCAATGCCCTCACGAAGAACAGTGAAGGGTGCACCCATTGATCTGCGGTAGCTGAGTGAAGCCACCTCGCAACGTCAAGAATCGAGAGGGCGCAGGAATGAAAGCCAGAGCACCAAGGCTTACCGCTCTGAATCCCTTGGATGGGTGGGCACCTGTTGTGAACATCGCTGATGTTCTTGCGCAAATTGGATGCCTAGAGCGGCGATACAGGGTGCCTACGATGCGATCGCCTGTCGTATTCGTTCGCGAGCCTGCACCTGCCCTCCATTGGCAGCAGCATTCCATCGGAACGCTGCTCCTTCGGCAATGTGCTGGCATGACAATGCGACTTTCTCCACGATGCCGCTGAGATGAGAGTCACTCCCACCTAGAGTGTGATCTCCTCCCAGCTTTGCTAACCCGACAGTGCTAGCATGGCGCATGTCGCAATCTAACATCTGTCGCATGACTTCTCGCGACGCGGCTGTGAGCCCATTTGGCTGCAATCCCGCTTTCGTGATTGCTGCGTTGCCAGAGTTGGCCGGCTGAACGAAAGGTCCAGCTGCTGCAGGGTGCTGGTAGATCCACATCTCTGCTGAGGAATCATGCCCAGTCCCATAAGCGAATTGGCCCAAGATGGAATCAAGAGCCGGCTCGAATGGATCAACTGGAGCTCCAGCTCCCGCTGCGGCAGCAATTGGTCGCTCAGCTGCAGTAGCAATCTGAAACTCCGTGATTGATACCGAGCGCCAAAGAGCATCGATGTCGATTCCATCTACACCAGTATCGTCCGTCCATTCAGATGACACAAACCAGCCGACACCCATGCCAGCGGTAGCGATTTGAGTCAGCGGCGGACGAGCAACTGTGGAACGGACATTCACACCGGCAGCCTGAGCCACATGAGTTGGAGCTCCAGCATCGAACATTGCGACTACCGATATTTCAGCTCCTCCAAAGAACAGTCCAACCATTTGGTCGAAGGATTGACCGACTGTGGTCGGAGCAGCAGCAGGCCATGGCAACAGCTCATGCCCGAGATTGACAGGCGCAGCAACCCCAATGGCTCTGACTGAAACTGTGATGCCATCCATGGAAGCATTGCCTGCTCCTGCTGTAATGGCGGTCAAGTAGGTCGCATATGCTTCCTTCAAGCTGCTGATGCGGGACAAGTTGGATGTCACAACATGCTTGTGGGTGCCAAGCGTTAAACGGCCAGCGGCGCGCAATATTCACTGGCCCCACACCTCCAGTCCACCCAGCAGCGGCCAATTGTGCTTTCGCAGCTGCACTAGCCGTCCAAACAGGGGAGCCCAAAACGGCACGCAGATCATCATATTCGACGACCGTTTGATCCACATGAATAGCTCCTTGGTTGTGAGTTGCTGGGTCCAGGCTGTTGTGCACTGCCAGGAATGCATCAGTGGATCGAAGACCTTGAGCCCACATCCCTCGAGGAGTGGCTGCATGATCTATCCTCAACGTATAAACCCCAGTTTCACGCCAGTCTGCAAAGACAGCTGCATCAGTCGGGAGGCGGGAGGGCCCCTGTGTAGACCGTCACGCGTCCATGTTGGAGCGCAGTGGCATCAATTGCAGTGTGATGCGGAAATGGCAGGGCACGATCGATAGCTCCAGTCACGCCTCCTTATCTGCGCGTGCCAGTCCTAGTCCTGTCGGGAGCGAAGCCAGTTCTGATGAGAGCCATGGTTCTCGAATTTGAACCAGTTGGATATCAATCTTCACCAGGTGAGCTAAAGCTTGAGCCCGAGCTTGCCTCGTTGCTGCAAACTGCTGAAAGCTGCTGCTTGAGCTGTAGCCATTTGGTTTAAGGTT